CTTGAAGGTCTTATACTGAAATTCTTATGTTGTTTGTAGGGTTTATATGACTTATATTTCTTTTTGTATATTTTCTTATGCTTATTTTTCTTATGGCAACCATACTGTTGTGGTAAATCTATATTTTTACAACTCATGTAAAATTGTTTCCTAATTTGTCTCTTAGCCTTTATTTGACTACACTCTTGTCTAGGTATATCATATACATGTTGAATTCTAGGTCCTATAACAATATCATTTTTCTTCGAATGCTTTTGCCATTCATTCCAAATCTTTTCACCTATTGGTCCTTTTATTTTTGTCATATAAGTATCTAATAAATTAATATCACTAATTCTACCTGTTCTTCCTAAATATTTAAAGAAATCTGTTGTATACTCAGCTATATACTGTAAATCGCAAATTTGTAATTGTTCTAAATTTCTAATTGCTCTTATTTGTTCTTGTTCACTTCTGCCATCTAACCTATTATGATCTAAAAACTCTTGTTTAATCAAAGTAACAAAACCATCAATATTGAAATGTGTTTTAGCTGCCTGATGCTGTTCTGGATTTTGGACTTTCCATGATTGGAAATAATCAAAAACTAAACCATCCAAAGTATGTTCAAAGTAATCTAACATGTTTTGTGAATTACTAAAATCTAACATTAATTCTGCATGTACGCAGCCTTTTTCCCAACTCTCAATCGTTTTTTCCCAATCTTGTGGATCTACATTATCTAAATTTAATATATTACCAGCTATATTAATTTGTTCTAACCCTCTCAAATATGGAATCCTATTTTTTCTAGGTTTTATCATACTTTCTTCCATATAGCCTACTTTTGCTTTCATTATATTGTTCATTTGTTGGTCTCAAAAATTGTTGATCGGTTCTGCTTGCGTGTCCTGGATTTTCTATTCCCGATGTACTACTTTCTTCTGCTAGATTACATTCTGCTTTCAATTCTAATAAATTATTATATTCTTTTGATCCTAAAATGTGTTCTACTCCTATTTCTAAGATTAAAATTTTCATTTCTTCGTCTGAAATTTTATGTAGTCCTAAATCATATGTCTTATATTTTTTCAAATATTGTTCTTCATCTAAATGATTAATATCTTCTATAAGTTTGTCTACAATATGATCAAAATTTTGTTCAACTAAATTAATATCTAAATTATCAAAAGCCATATGTATACTCTCATTTTCAATTTCACTCTCATCTTCTTCTATTTTTTCTAGTTGCTTATAATTACTAAACCTAATTGTTGCTTGACCTGTATTAGTTTCATATATTTGTACTTTATCTGGTTGTCTATTTGATGCTACTTGTAAATTAGGCAATGTCCACTGAGTTCCTTCTAAAAAGCTATTATCTACGGGTTTTGCTTCTATCATATTTACATGTTTACTGCCAAATGTTTGAACTAAAATTTGAAATTCTAAATTAAACTTATGATTATATCTATCAGACACTTTGCCTATATACATTAAGCTAATACACAAATTTTTATACTCTCCTTTCATATTATAATTTTTTGTTCTTATGCTCACTTTAATATATTTACTAAATTCATTAATCGTCATAACATAATTTGGAATACAACCTATGACTGCTAAATTTGAACTTAAGTCTACTTCAGCTGTTGCTATTGCTACTTGTTGGTGATTATCCCATCTATCATCATATATGTATACTAAAGCTTTTGTACCTACTTGTGTTCTGGTTAATACTGCTATTCCAATTAATATTGTTCCTATATGAATCTGACTAAAATGTGATTTTCTCAAATGAGTAACTGCTTCTTTACTAATTAGATTAAGTGTGACTTCTTTATCAATACATCTAACTTCATGTTGACTGATGCTGCATTCTACTTCTGTTTTCAAATAAACCTAATTGATACAAGTTATATTTATTTTTCTGTGTTCTCTCAAAACCTCTTCGAATAAATTCTTGTGCTTCTTCTTCATTTGGATAAATATCTTCCGTTCTAACTACTTCTTTTCCTTTTTCCTAAAGAGTTCCATTTTCTATTATCAAAAGGATTTAGTTTAGGTCTTCTATTATTATTTGCACTCAAAGTTAAATTTTCTAATTTATCTAGCAAGGATGGGGGAAGTGATGAAGATGCGTTATGTAACACTTGGTTTATTTCTGCTATTTGTTCTTCAACTTGATCTAATTTTTCAGCTAAACTTAAAACGAATTGGATAATCAAATTATTTTGCCTAATGGGAATATTACTACTGGATACTTGTGTTGAAAAATCTGTTAATCCTACTGGTTCTTTATCTAATTTACTAATTTCTTTCAAAGCTTGAATATATTTTCTGCTAGTTCTAGAATCTGTCATTAAACTAATAATTTATCTATTTTATTATGCAACTTATCTACTTGTTCTCTCAACTCCTTTTGTACGAATTGAATTTTTTGAACTTCTAATTTTAGTTGTTCAACTATTTCTAATGACCTAAGTTCTACTTGCTTTGGCTTACTATCTATGAGGTCAACAAGCTCTTTTATCTCTCTTTTGCCAGGAAACCTTTGAATATTTTTATTATTATCTTCTAACTGAGATGCAATATAGTCTAAATTTTGTCTGATTATCTTTATGGAATTTTTCTGAAAATGTTCTAACAACTGGTTTAACAAATGATTATGCTTATTATTTTCTAATTTTATATTTTCTGCTTGACTAATAATAAGATCTACAATACTATTGGCTTGCGGATTTTCTTCACTGTGCAAAATATGATTATGCTTTCTTGATGGAAAATAACAAACTAAACTATTTTGGTCTAAAGTTATTTTTCTTTTTTGAGGTTCATTAATTTCTAAATTAAGATAATCTATCATAAACTACAGTCTACCCTTCTCTAGAGTTACAGCTAACTGATTTCTTAAAAACTCTCTTTCTTCTCTCAAGGTCTCTAAAGCTTGATCTGTTGTTCTTTTTGCTTCTAAAACTTTATGCTGCACTTCTGTGTTATTATATTTACGAATAAATGAAGGATGTTCAAGATAGCCAAGATAAAACTTTTGCCTCTTCAAAGTACTGATAATTCTTTTGGATATATATGTTAATCTTCTCTTTATGCTAGTTATAGTTGGATGTCTGGAACAATAAATACCTGGTAATTGTGGTTGATAGGGTCTATAGGGACAATAATATATGTTGTTCATACACAATAAGCAAATATGATATCAGTTGTATCAATGATTTCTATCCTCAAGGTACTTTACTATTATGCTTATATTATTAAAATGCTAAACTTGGCTCTGATACCAAATTCGAAACGCATGCTCGGTTAAATAGTCGGATAACCATTATAACAACTAGACATAGAACCTTACATGGAACTCGACATGTTTCAGCATGACAGCCACTCACAGTACAAGTATAAGGCCTTAATGGCTGAACTCAGAGGTACGAAGAACTCAGATGTACCCTGGTTAATGTCCAGTTATTTGTATGGCAAAACATTCAACTATAACAGAGTACTCGAACAAAGTATGATCGTCAGTTTAGCAGGTTAATAATATAACCACAATAGTGTTTCCCTGTTTTGGACTAGAAGTCTAATTAAACAAACACACTAAATAAGGAAAAGAAAACTTACTTAAGACTTGGAGATTACTTGAATATGTACACTTGAACTTTTATTGATATATGGAATGTTTACAGAGATAGTTGTTTACAAGAAAGTGATTACAAAGAAGTGTTTACAAAGATGCTATGAAGGCTACGAATCCTTGAGTGTATGAAGTGAGTATGGTGTTTTCAAATGTTGAGAGAGGTGTGTGGTATTCAGGTGTCTTCTGTATGAGAGGAAAGGCTCTCTTATATACAAAATCTAATTCTTCAAAGACAAAAAATTATTTCATCTATTTACAATTTTTTTAATAGTGACAGCACACTATTTCTGAAAGCTGTCAGCACTGTTTCTGAAAGCTGGCTGAAAGACATGTGAACCCATGTTGTCTTGGTTGCTGTAATGTTTGCCACCTTAGCTTTTGCATGCAAATATTTTCTGAAAATGTCAGCCCCACCATGTGAACTTTACTAAAAGCTTGGCCAATTTTGTACATATGTGTGAAGGGTAGCCTTGGTATTTATGAAAACTTTTGTCCTTATGATTAAAATGAAACTTTTCAGGGGCTTTTGGTTAGTTTTCCATTTTTTTTAACTTGGATATTGCTTCCAGTAGCATGGCTGCCTATACTATATATATAGGAGGAACACGGATCCCCACATCTCAGCCGTACATCGTCAATCGTGCGGTCATAAATCATTTTAATTTTATTATTTTAAATTAAACACAAATAGTACTTGACAAAAACTGATCACACAATATACGATGAACGGCTGAGATGTGGGGATCCCTACATAAGGGATCCGGAGGGGATCCGTGTTCATATGGGAGCAACCAAATGTATGCAGCTTGGACGGCATGAAAGAAACCAAAAAAAGAAGACCTAAAGAGTTGGTCGTGAAAACAAGACTAAAAAGTTGTTTTGTGACTGATATTCCTTCTTAAGCACCAAACGACCATAAAAGTTAACATCGCATTGCGAACCGCCAAACTGAGAAAATTGGCAAACCACCAAGACCGCACATTGATTTTCCAACCCCTTAATGCGTCAATGAGAACTTGCCGTCGAGTACAATTCAACGCATCACGACGTAGTGCTCTGTCCACATTGATTTTGGAGTGTCCCGTCCCCCACGATGGAGGCCGGGTCTACGTCGCTCATTGACCCCAACAGGAACTCCTCAAGCAGACATCTCGGTCGCTTGATTCACCATCTCCAGCTTATTTAGTGGAGCTTCTCCCGAGTCGAGGCATAAAATTCCACGCAATCGTATAAAAGCATTCAAGGATGGTTATTAAACAAAAAAAAGATTTCCCATTAGGGTTCTAAACAGAGGAATGCAAAAGGGAAAACAGGGAGTGTTCAAACTCTTTTGCTTGAAAAATAACAGAATCAGGATATCCATGAAAAGGGGACAAAGTTCAAAATTTGAAATCACATAAAGAAAACCGAATGTGTGTTTCTTCTTCTCCATTGAAAGATAGTTTGGACTACCACAAACATTATGAGTTTTGAGTCCATCCCGAAAAAGGATATGTAAAGAACAGAAATAACTTAATTTAACTAAACAGACAGACCTAGTTGTTATCCCACGCCTATCAAGCAGAAAACTGTAGTTCTCAAACCTTCTCTACCTCAATCGGTTCCAGCTTACCTTCCTCAATGAAGATAGTAGTAACCCAGTACTAGAAACAACACAACTAACACAGCAGCAGGAGCAGCCCATAGCCAATAGTTTGTACTCGACTTCTTCCTCTTCAGGATGGCTTTTGGTAGTGCGTCTGAACCTCTTGCTCGACCTCTGTTCCTCAGACTGTTATCCTTTTGCGCCTTTGCCTTTGCCGGGACAGGAGCTTCAACCTTTTCAGTTACCTTTTCTGGTTCTGCAACCTCAGCAACTGGTTCTATCAGTTCCTCAGGATTGGTATCCGGGGCAGATGATGACTTCTTCTTTGCCTTCTTTTCACGCTCCTGAAGCAAGTCAAAATGGTAACTCATGTCAGTTTCTAATACCAACCAGATTAACATAGATAAAGTAATAACAAGAAATAAGTTGTTAGATAATTACCTTCAGCTTCTTCTCGGCTTCCTTTTGAGCTCTAATAGCTGCTTTAGCTGCATCTTTCTCTGCCTTCTTCTTCTTCCTCTCCAAGGCCAGCTTATTTTTTTCTATCTCCTCTTCTCTTTTCATCTCCTTCAACTTCGCCGGATCAATTTTCTTTTCTTTTAGGATCTCCTTTTCAGAAACAAATATTTCCTCGTCAGCCATATCAATATGCTCTGCAGCAGATTTAGGAGCAGTTGCTTTATTTTTGGCTTCTTTCTGAACCTTCTGTGCAGTCGAAGTATCTGGCAGAGCAGATCTGGTATCTTCCTTAACTTGTTTTGCATTAGATTTTGGTGCTGTCTCTACCACAGGTGCTTCCACAACCACCAATGGCTTCTCATCTGGGTTTCTTATACGTCCATCCCTACTCATTTGACGGCTGTCCAGAGATGGCAAAATTCTTTTCTCATAATCATCTCTAAAATCCTTGTTACTGTTCCAGAGGGACATAAATTTCTCGACCTAGAGAAAAAAATACTAATATTTAGAATGCAGATGTTATACATTATATGGAGGAGTTAAATTGCTATAAACAATGCATGGTCATATAACAAACCTCTTCATTAGAAAGTGCTTCAAGTGCTTTGACATTGTTGGTAGCAGCAAGATTTCTAGCTTTGGTCATGACCCCACGGCTATGGTAGAAGCCAGCATTCTGAAAATCATAACAATATAATTACAGGGCGATAATATCACGCAATGCAATCACTACATGCACCCCTTCATGTCAGAAGGATAACTGTTAATTTTGAGGGCATTCATTACAATAATTAGACGACAGCATACCACATCATCCCCCTAAAAATATATACTTACAATTTCATATTGCAAAGGTCTAAATATTGTAAAGGTCTAAATAAGAGGCTACATACCAACCCAAAAAACTCGACTCCTATAAAGCAAAAATAGATTACAACTGAACCAAATTTCACACATGTTTCCAAGTTCCAATATAATTCTTCACAACACGCCTTTCCATCCTTTTAAGTTCACTAGGTTTTTAAAAAGGAAAAAGGACTGATGGAAAAGTGTTGCCAAAAGTTAAGAAACGAAGTGAACAGTTGTTATAAGCAACCAATAAACAAACCAGATGAGAAGCAAGCAAAAACAGAAAGCTAAGGTAATCCTAACTATAATTACTTATATATACTCAACCTTGCACCAACTTCCCTGGTTTCCCAGCTAAAAAAAACATCTTTCAGCATAACGGACTGACAATGTTTGTTAATTTAAATTGCATCTAAAGAGAGAGATATGCTTTCATCCTTATTGTTAAAAATCAGATACAAACAGCACCTACAGCTATTCTGAAAACAATTTTTGGCACGGTAAATTTGACCCAATCATTCACATAGACAACTATGCCCACGTATTTTACAGTGAAAACACAAGGATCTGTGGCTTGCTAAATTGATTTAATTAAAATCACTCAACACTTGAGACTTTGAGCACCCGAATTTTGATAATTGAGACACAAGCATATATATATATATATATAGAGAGAGAGAGAGAGAGAGAGAGAGAGAGTAACTGAAAATGACCTACCGCCTGATCAGTCTGTAACCTAAGTTGACGAATATTTTCGAATGCTTTATCCCTCTTCTCAGTTACAATGTCCAGATCTTCCTGTAATGATGCAATTGCCTTGTCAATCACCTTCACTGCATCATCAAGGTGCTTAATTTTGGCCCTAACACCATCTTGCTCCTTTTTTACTTCCTTTAAGTCACCATCCATAAGCTACATCAACACAATTTTGCAAATGATTAGTACACATTATAAAATGATGCAATTCTGCAGCACAAAATTTTCAGGAATTCATTGAAACATAAAAGGCTCAAAAAGATGCAAGTAAAAACAGAATCCCCTTACTTTAACTTGGTCCTTGAGGGCTTCTTTAGGAAGCAGTTTAGCTAGCTCAGCTTCACGAGCAATAACTTGTCCCCTTGTGTTCTCAAGAGCCTTCATCTCTTTAAGTATTTTCTTTTCCTCGGACAATGGAATGCTCTCATGTTGCATATAATACTGCAACCCTTGGATCTGTTCCAACAGTATGTAATGGGTGAAAAAGCCAAGAAGTCATAGCAGCAGGAAAAGATAGGAAAAGAAAATGATGAATTTGAAGATGCACAGAGCTTGGAAAAGAAACATACACGACTGTTAAGCTCTTCCTCTGATGAACATAAACCACCACTGCGACTAGCAGTGTCTGCACTGCGTATCTCTCCAAGAGCCTGCCGCAGAGGCTGTAAATCCTTAAACTTCTCATCCACAATTGACCTAATTTGCCTGTTGTCATTCCTCAGAGCCTTAATCTTCTCAATCAATTCTGATCTTTCAGTCTGCACCGAAAAAATAAAAATAATAGAGAAATCAAAGGTCATTCTTCTAAAATTGAAAATAAACAACAGTCCATTGTACTATGTATTTCCTAATTTACCTTCTGAAATTCGATGATCTGTAGAAAATAGATACAGCAGAATTTTATAATACAATATTCAACAAGTATGATGCTCTTGAATCCATAAGATATTTTCATACTATATCTAACATGTAAAACTTTTGTATACTTCTTTAAAATCCAAAGGTAAATTTTTTACTATCGCTTATAATACAAATCAAATGTGGATATAACATCTTGCATTTAACAATAGGCCTGGTGTTGGGGGAGAAAGGGGAATCAGTTTCCACTAAGACACCAATAAAAATAATTAAAAAACTTGAAATAGATATGTGAGCTATACCCATCCCCTCCCGAGCCACATTGTCTCCAAAAGGATACTGCAGCCTAATATCTCCAATGTGACCGCATAAAAGAAAGTCTTCTCTGGTTCTTGCCAAATGACAATTTATGCAATCATGGATGTCTATGAGCATCTATTCTAGTTCTACGGTCATATATTGTAAACATTGCTACAACAAGGAGTCAACAATTTTAAACAAACAGATAAACAGTTACCCTACGTTTACAGCAACGCTCAAACAAATGGGATTTGCTAATAAGGTCAGAAGATTCTACTAACCCTTTTTGCTCGTAGTGCTTCAATGATGTCTTGACGAGCTTTGTTCCTCTCATTCACCTCTTTAGAAGCATGATCAATCCTCACTTTTATTTTTGGATCGTCGATTGTCCGGTGCCTAACAAAATAGAAAGAATGGATCTGCTTGGGAGCAGGCCACTCGTCAACTGCATCCTTGGGGAAGTTTGGAACCGAAACCTCATTGACTTCCTTTTTGTCTGATTCATCACCATGCGATCCAAACTGTATGGGCTCATTACCGCCCGGACCTTGATCCAATTTTCCATTTTCCTTGGCAGAATTCCCTCCTTCAGTGACAGCCCCCACTGGTCCTTGGATCACCTCAAATCCCACAACTTCAACACCCATGCTTTCAACAAAAGGACAGCCTTACAAAACCAAAATTCCTGATGTAGAAAGCAAGTATCATGTTATATTAAGAAAAATATCGAAAACCGATTCCAAATCTAGATTATTTTTACCAGGCTTCTAGTTAAAAAAACAGGGTTGACCAGCAAATGCTTCAAGAAATCACATTTTAGTCAATCATACGAATACCTATATCAAAAAATAAAATTAAAACAAAGGGAAGACAATCTAAAAGTTACAGATTTAAAAGCACATTTCCATTCAGATCGTCAAAACAAACAAATCTAAAAAAAATATGGAATAAAAACCCAGCTGATATATGCAGCGCATGCCAATCTAAAATCCTTCACAGATCATTCAAACACCAAAACAAGACAAACCCAGATCATACAATTAAATATACAAAATTACCCAACCGTCAAAATCACAAGATCAACACATAATTACAGCCATTAGACGTATTCAATTTTCAATTTCCCCCAAAAAAAAACGCATCGAATTACAGAATCAATTCATTCAAAAAAAAAAGATCGGGACTTTACATCGAACAAGCAACAAAATCCAATTAAATCAACCCAACACACACGATCCAAACACAATTCCTTCACCCAGAACAACCGAGACCAATTGGATCAAACCCACGAACCAAAATTAACCCAGAAACAAAAATTGCAAAAAAAAAAAAGAAAAAAAAACCGGAGAGATTCTTACCAATACCAGGAACAGAAAAAATGTAAGCAGTAAGAGAGAGAGAGGGAGAGAAAGAATATCCTTTCGGTAAAGAAAAAGGGCCCCCAAATCCAAGTACAGAAAAAACCCAGAAAATGGAAAAAAAGGATACGGTCAAGATCTCCTTACCCTTTTATTATTTCCCCTCCTTCCTTCCTTCCTTCCTTCCTTCCTTCCCTCCTTGAAAGTCTTTCTCTTTCTAAATCCTATTTCCAAGAGAGAAGTGAAAGAGAAAGAGGTGAGAGAGAGTGAGTGGTGGTTATTTGTAGGAGCAGGTGTTTATTTGTAGAGAGAGAAAGACAGACATCTCCGGTGAGGCAAAGAGGGTTTGGGGTTTGCTTTGTTTTAACTTCTACATTTTTTGTTGGACTAAACAGGGAAGCGTTTTATTTCCAGTCCCTCCAGTTTACAAATATAATTAAAATTGGGCCCTTAAATCTTTTGGGCTTTCCGGTTTTTTGCCTATAATAATAAAGTGAGTTTTGTTATGATATGATATTAATTACTGTTTATGTGTGGTTGTGTAAATTAATGGTAGATAAGATAGGCCGCAACAACAATTTTTTTTTTCCATTAGAGCAATAAAATTAGTAAGTTAAATAATTTTTTAAATTTATCGCTTTCTATAGATGCAAGTTAAAAATTAATTTTGTGTATGAATTTTGTTAAGAATACTATGGTATTACAACCCCTAAATACATTATCAGGATATGGCCAATTTTTTATACGATCCGTTAACCTGACACAAAATCACATGACATGGCCCAATAAGACAATGGTATGACACAAAAAATGACACAAACACAAGAAACACGATTCATTTGAGAGGCCTAATTTATCGTAAAAGAATATCAAAATAACTTTTTAATAGCATAAAAAATTAATAAACAAAAAAAAGTATGAACATACGGAAGTACCAAACATAGGGATGAGGATCCTGTCTAGATCATTTTTGTGATGATCCTTGTGCTGCTTTCGTTAAATATTATTGTATTTAATTTTAAATAACTGATGAATAGATAAAATGAACTACATCGTAAAATTCTCATAAAGAGAATTCGTATAAAATGAACTACTTCGTAAAATTCTCATAAAGAGAATTCGTATAAAATCTTGTTCCCAAACACGGCTAGCTTCACCGGCCGTGGTAAAAACTGAAAACGACCGACGAAATGTGAATTTCGATGCGTACAATGAAACTCGATAGCTTTCACGAAACGACGCGGTTTAGAAAGGGACTTGCCGTCATCGATGATAAATACATGCAGTATAAATAGATGCAGCTGATCGTTTTTGGCTTTGCGCTCTGTCTCCGCACTCGCCATTATATACACGTGTTGGTCGCTAGCGCCACGTTTGGCAGCGGGTCACGAGGGAAGTGAAGTGCATAGAAAAATCAGATTAGATGTGGATGCGGATGACATCATCGGAATGTGAAAGTACGAACGTGCCCATCTGGGTTTTCCAGAAGGGTACTTTTGTACTGTTGTACGCGTATGGTGTTGAAAGTCTGACTGTATTGTGGGTGGGTTGGATTAACTGCTTTTTAGGGGACTAATTTGCATTAGATTTCTAAATGCTGTTTTTGGATATGTGGGAGCAAAATTGAGAAAATGTTGTAGTACTTTTTAACTAACATCCAATTTTGGTAGATTATGACTACTATTCTAAAAACCTCCGCCTAATGCAGTCTAGACCTCGCCTATATGCCATGTGACTAGCCATTACCCCGATTAATGCCCTAAACATCTTAAAATTAAGAAATGACACCTAGTCTAAACCGTCTGGACACCCGTCTAGCGTATCCAGACCCGTCTAAGCCTGCCTAGGTCGCGACTCACTTAGACATAAAACAGATCACTTTCATTTTGTTTTTAATTTTTTCAATAAATTGTAAGAGACTTATTGCATACTTAAATGAATACACATTATATCCCTTGTTCCCCATGTTTTAATTATGTTCCAATACTTCATAATATATATGTCATTCTACTTTGTAGTTTATGATGAAATTATATATATTTGGGATAGGATCAAGGGACAAATATTTTGACAAACATTTTTATACTTCCTTGTAGCCTTTAGATTTTATAACATTCAACGGTCTAGATTAAGAGTGATAGGGAGAATTTTAAACATTAAATGACTTGGATGATGATGTGGATTATAACTAATAAAGAAAACAATAATCTAAATTAAAAATTAATATCTAATAGGATAAAATTGAAAAAACCAATAATCAAACTTTGAACCTAGCGTAAAAAATCAAAAAAATAAGAAAAGCAAAAACATGAAAATAATGTAACTGTTGTAAACATTCCTAGTTTAAGTATGATTGTGTAAATCCTAGATAAGATTTGATTCTAGTTATCCTTTCCTATTGCAACTTGTATTACTTGGAGGAGAAGGAATATCTTCTCTCTCTTTACTACTATAAATAAAGGCACAATGTAGGAGGGATAACAACACACACATTCCCCTACAATTCTACAAACACACATCTCTCTCCTCTCTCCCTCTGCCGCCGGCCCTACTCTCTCTGTCAGATAAAATAGACCACAACACGTTATCAGCACGCTCCTACCGCTGCGCTTAGGAATCTGACGTTGGAGATTTTTTTCTGCATCAAACCAGTTCATCCATATCATCACGCAATCAGGTTCTTTCCAAACAACGGCTTTTAACTCGATATTTTGCAAGCCCTGATAGCATGAACATTCACCATGATGCATGACCCAACTTTACGTTTTACGTATTTTAGATTCTACATAAATTGTGTATGCTTCATAATCAAAATTGCTACAATTATGTGAATTTGATATTTGCCATGAACTGAATCTTACATATGTACATGCATTGAAACTATTATTTGCATATGCATCAAAGTAAATATGTGATTCATTGAATTATATATGCATCTAATTAAAAAAAAAAAAAAAAAAAGTTTCTGGGCTCGCCTGGAACGGCCCGAGAAAAAAAAAATTCTAGGCTCGCCTGGAACGGCCCGAGAGAAAAAAAAAAAAAAAATTTTTAGGGCTGCACACAGCAGCCCATTCCCCTCTTCTCACCCCGTGGGCCTGTAATCCCACCCGAGGGTTCTTGGCTTATACTTTTAGGCCCCGAGATTTTATTATTTAATATTTTTTTTTAATATGGGTTTTTATATTTTCACCCACACTTTAATTTGGCCCCGAAGACCAAAAATAAATTAATTCACTTATCATTATACAATATTTCTGCATATATTCTTTGCATATTTGTTTGCATATATATTTGTGTTTGCCTGCAGGAATATATGAACCTGAAGTTCATAATTACTTTGAAACCCGAAGTTTCTTATACACATGCCTTGTTAGAAAACCCGAAGTTTTCACTTAAATATATCACCCATGAAAACCCGAAGTTTTTCATGCAAAATTAAACCAATACATGTCTATTAGAACCTGTATGTTCTACTCCTATGTGAATGGATTGATTTTTCTCCATTACACTAACCACATCTTGTCCATCTAATTTGTGATAGGAACATGTCGAACTTGAACAAACTCGACTTCACCGCTTTGGAGGTTTCTGGAAGGAACTACCTCAAGTGGGTTCAAGATGTGAAGCTCCACCTCACTGCAAAGAACTTGCGTCCTGCTATTAAAGAAGCAACAGATAAACCTGTTGGCGAGGCTGAAAAAGCCACTGCTATGATCTTCATCCGAAGACATATCCATGACGCTCTACAAACTGAGTACCTTGCTGAGGAGGATCCACGTGCATTATGGGTCGCTTTGGCTGATCGTTTCGATCACCAAAAGGACATATTCTTGCCTGAAGCAAGACACGACTGGCAGCACTTGCGCTTCCAAGACTTTAAGTCTGTGAATGAATATAATTCTGAAGTTTGTCGAATCCGATCACTTCTCAAGTTTTGCAATGAAACTTTGACTGAAGAGGATCTCCTGGAGAAGACCTACTCGACCTTCTCTGCTTCTAATATTGTCCTGCAGCAACAATATAGAGCTCAGAAGTTCACTAAGTTCTCGGATTTGATCTCTGTTTTTACTTCTTGCTGAAAAGCAGAACCAGCTGTTGATGAAGAATCATCAAGCTCGACCTACTGGGGCTACTGCTGTGCCTGAAGCACATTATAGCACTAATCAGCACCCAAAACGCCAAAAGAGGCGTGGTAAGGGCGGCCATAAGCCATCCCACCAAGGTCAACAGAGCCAAGGCCCATCCAAAGGAGGAAACAAAGCCCAGAAGCGCCCAAACCTCGCTCCCAAGGCCCCGAACTTCAAGAATAAGGGCAAAGCACCTGCCACAATGAATGACGATATGTGCTATCGTTGTGGTTCCAAGGACCATTGGTCCCGTATTTGCCGTGCTCCCAAGAAGGTTGTGGATGCATATCATTCTCGTCGTACGAAGTTTGAATCAAACTTCCTGCAAGTGGACGAACCGGAGACTACAAAGATGGAGGTTTCTGATTTTCAGGAGGATACCACTCCTATGGAAGATTAGAATCTTAGACATAGACTTATTTTTCAGTTAAAATAAGACAATTGGGGCCGAATTCCACCTTGTGGCCGAACCCCACCTTGTTTTTTTTGGTTGATTTTGAACAATTTTCCTTTATGTTTTGGATTATTAGTTGGCGATTTATTTTGGATATTAAGTTTTTCCTTGAATAAATGAAATTATTTTGAATTGATACTTGTTTTTATAAACTTTTATGCATGTGACCGATTCAAATTAATTTTTCATTCTAAGGTATGACTAGTGGGAAAGTTAGTTGTCTGGCAGATAGTGCAACCACGCATACTGTTTTGCGTGAACGCATCTATTTCACTAACTTCGTACTTAAGAATGCACCTCTGACAACCCTCTCAGGCCCATCCAACCTGATCGAAGGATACGGTAAGGCACGTATAATGTTGTCCAATGGTACAATCTTGACCATTGTTGAGGCACTCTATTCTCCACGTTCCGGAAGAACGTTACTAAGTTTCAAGGACATTAGAGATAACAATTACCACGCTGAAACCCACGCAGAAAACGGAGTTGAATTTCTGTGCGTAACTTCCTACGAATATGGCCAGAAGCGTATTCTAGAGAAGATGGAGCGTAAACCCGAGTGGTCTGTATACTACGACCATACGCCCCATAGAATGCCACTATGTGGCCGGCCCTACCACAGGGACCGCGCACGAAATTACACTTTGGCATGAACGTTTGGGACATCCTGGACGAATAGCGATGCGCCGTATCCTCAAAACTTCACACGGGCATCCACTAACCCGAAGCTTAGGTTCGATCCATGAAATTGCATGTCAAACATGTTCTATGGGAAAGCTTATTACTAAGCCTTCTTATGACAAGATTCGTTCGAAT